GGGGGGGAACAGTGGGAGGGCTTCTGGTGTCCTGGCCCCACTGCTGGACCTCCTGAGGGCACCTGGTATTTTTGGCTGATGTGTGACACAGAGTGTTGGACTGGATGGGCCACTGGCCTGATCCAAAATGGCTTCTCTTATGTTCTTATGTCTGGCGCAGTGATGCTCTGCATTCTTGGTGCTTGGGGGGCAAGAGTGGGAGGGCTCCTGGAGTTTTGGCCCTGCTGGTGGACCTCCTGAGGGTACCTGGGTTTTGTCCAGTGTTTCCTCTAAGTGCAAGGTAGCTAACAGTTTTTTAGCCTCCGGCTCATACATTTTTGTCTTAATTCAGGAAAGATGCCTCCAGAGCAAACTAATTTATGCAGTAGCCAAATTGCTCACTCATAGCTTTAATGCCAGTCGCTCACAAAGGAGCATCCCGGGATGTGATATCAGAGTCATGTGACAGGAAGAGGGGGAGCTGGACCATAACCAACAGACCGAAAGGGCCAAGGACAAGAAACAAAAACCAGTCAAAAAAGAGGTTCCGGTGATGTCAGGGGGTGTGGCCTTATGACACACTTTCGGTGATGTCAGGGGGTGTGGCATATGCTAATGAGTTATGCTAATGAGCTCCGGCAGCTCTTTTTCTACAAAAAGACCCCTGGGAAAACCATGTGAAATAATAGACACACAGTTCAGCGGCTGCAATGAGGAGGGGGGAGGGAGTAAAAGAGTCCTTCTGCCTCTTAAGAGCTGCACAGACAAAGGAAAGGAGGGAGCAGTTTCACCCCTTTCATATTCTTCCGCTGCAGCTCACCCACCCACTTGACTATTCTAAGGTCAGAAGGGACTGTTGGGGGGGAGTGGGGAAGTTCTACAACCCTTGCATGAGCAGATTGTGTATCTATCCCTTTTTTATTGCTATCTGCTGCCTGTTTTACCTCTCCACACCACTTTGTATTCATAGAAAGATAAGATGCTAAGTTGCAAGAACTCATGAAGCAGATTGATTCATAAGATCAGACTCAGCTGTTCTGCCTAAACCTTTTCAATAGCCATATGACTAGAGCAGATAAGCCACTTTGTTTGGGATTATTACTTACATTTTAACACCATATGTGTTTATGTGAGTCATTTACCTGAGAACTAGCACATGGTGCATTCAGCATCTTCTGTGACATGTGTTAGGGACAGAGGTCCATACTTATGTAAACTATCCCATCTTAATCGCATCAGAAATGGTTTGCAGACAAGATGCTTCTGGGTTTTTTTTTAAATTCTAGAAAGATTAAAATCTTCCTCAGCTTAGACTTTCTATAGTTTCTAAATTATGAGTTTGATAACCAGTATGTCATGATGTACGTGTTCAGTTACTTAAATCATGATAAATTTATTATGGTGAAAATTAGGCTTTAACTAATTTGTTCCCTGTGGTGTTTAATTTTAAAGCTGCTTCTGGTAAATCTGAATCCAGTCTGTTTTCTAAGGTAGCTAGGGAAACTAGGGGGGGGGGGATAACACATACTTTCAGTTCACGCATGTATACAACTGTAGTTTGTACCTTACTGAGTATTATTTGAACATACACTTCGGTGTTTAGAACTACATCTAGTACTTATGGTGTATATAGGTTGAAATGTAGTAAGGCTGTAATATTTTTTGGCTGTATTGGACTCTCTGGTATGTTAAAGTATGTGTTATGTGGGTTTGAATGGGCTAAAAATGACATGACTATGTGCATCCAGAGGTCTATCTAGCACAGTCTTTATCTGCATTCAGTAAAATACTCTGCACTGAGAGATTTTACAAAAGATTTAGAATTAGCACTAGAACCCACAATTCAGCAAATGTAACCTGTTTATATTTCTAGTTCAGTTGCAAAATACAGGGTTCTTGTGGCAAGCTCTGGTGTTTTGACGGTTTTAGTCTAAAAGCCAAGGCAGATATACTGATACATGTGAAGAATATATTCAGGAGAGGAGGAGAAGGGGAATATTGGGAAGGCCAGGAGTCTGGAACCTTGAGTGAAACCGAGAAATTTATTTGCTTTATTAAAATGTTATATTAAATATATGAATATAATTATATTATATTTAAAAAAAATAAGCCTGAA